TATTTTAAATGTTTTTGCCCCCCCTGTGGTGGTTGTTTAGTTTCAGAGTGTGCGTGCACGGTTTACATGCATCGATTACATGCAAAACTAGTAAACAGTCTTGGGCATTCTCTGCTTTCTAGTGGCTTGAGTGTCGCATTACAAGGGAAGGTGAATTACTTGGTTCACTGATAATGGGAATTGTACATTTATAAGTATTCGTTGCGACGAGACTTTGCGATATTAATACATTGAGGCTGAACCTGCGCTGGCAGTGAAACTGCTCGCAATCTGGGCTGTCGTTTTTCGGGATGTCCATTTGAAACGTCTTTTCTACGGAGTTATCTGGTTGTAAGCATAGACATGACCGTAATTGTGCCCCCAAACGATCGTCAGTTCGCACGCGAATTATACTGTCGGCAAATCTTGCACGTGTCACTCAATGCGTGCATTTATGAGCTGAGCAATTTTTTGGGGGAAGTGGTCAACCGAGCGAAGCCGCATGCCTTCGATGGCAAAGCGTACTGACCCATCGGAATAACCAGCTGGCAGTTGATTCCTCCCTTCCAACAGTACCGGGGAAGGGTGGGGGGGGCAATTGTCATGCAACTTGAAAGTGGGGCACACGTGTTCCATTTTTCTCCGTTCGTCCATTGTGTTCCCCATTTCACTCTGAAACGCAACGCCCCCCCCCCCCCCACACATACCGCACCACCCCCCGCCAAACGGTGACCGTTGTGAGTGTGAAGACAAACGGCGACCTCCGGGTCCCCCGCAAGTAAAATAGGCCACAGTCGCCTTCGTTGGGGTTAACGTCCGAAGCCGCGCGTCTCCTCGTGGGGCGCATCTCTAGGCCACAAAAAAAGGTGTGGCCGTTACCGTGCTTGGACTGTACCAAGACGGATTTTGAATCCGCTGCCAAAGCGTTCATCACACTCGACCGCATCTGACCGCCTCCTTTCAACTTGCAGGTTCTCCTGCCGAGCTTTTGAATAATTCCCGCACGGACGCGTGTTACTAACGCGCCGTCGCCCCTGTCCTCGTATTGGCTTTGGCTTCGTATTGGGTAAACTACCATAGCCCTAAGATCTAAATGCTCCCCCCCCCCCCCCCACATAAACAAATCCTTAAAGCTGCATAAAAAATGTACCGATAATATGAATAATTTTGTATTCCTGGTACTTTGAGAGAGAAGTGAATGTGTTTTGTCACCAGGGGTGGGCGGAGGGGGGGGGGGATACTGGGGGTGGTCCATGGAAATGTTTGTATCGGCCGGGTGGTCCTCGGGCCAAACACGTTTGAGAACCACCGCCCTGGACCGACGTTCTTCTCTTCCAACTCCTCCTCTATGCCGTCAGCCTACCTCTTGCGTGGGCAGCCCTCGACTGCTTCCTGCTTGCTCCAAGCAATAAACTCATGGGAAACGAGTAACGCAATGCACTGTGCCCTCAGCCATCCGCCTGCTAGCTGCTATGTCGATTGTCCGTTACCCCGAATCGATCCGCACATCTAGCACTTAGCCACGCAATGATTCTTCCTAATATCGGCACTTTATCCACGGGTAAGAGCTTTAAACCCCGCAAGCTGTGTAAACACGCGTCCCATAATGCGCGTGAAGGTGCAAATCCTGCACGGAACTTGTAGAGTGCGAAACATGGGCATCAGCGACGTGTCTGAAAAATGTTTGACGCTGCTTTTCAGATACTACCGGCAAAATCTATTTAATTTCCACCATCCGCCCTTCTTCATGAAAAATAAGATCATTGAAATATGCAGATTGGCAGATAATACATCCATCCAACAATGCCCCTTTGTATCAGTGGAGATAAAAAGAAGTTCCACTTTATTTACTGATAACTGGTGAATGCAGCGGATACATTGTTGGGCATGTACAACCAAGGAATGTATGTATGTTGATCTTCTTTTGCACCATACGTAACTAACCATGCGAAACAAATTAAACACAGTAAAGGAGTTCTAAGGAAGTGAGTTTTCAATCTAGATTTAAAAGTGCTTAGCTCCAGTGTCTTCCTAATATCGAAAGAAAGAACGTTCCAGACTGTCGCAGACGCGCATCTTAAAGCGCACGACGCAGTGACCGTCTGCGATGATGACCGCCGGAGTTTGCTTGATGGTTTGTGCTCCTTGACGAGATGAAAATGGAACGCGTCCGAGGAGGTGGAGATATGACGCCGGTTCTTCTGACGGTGCCAGGTTGATAATTGTATCGCAGGATCGTGAGAGATGATGGTGGCATGAGGGAAACCTTTATCCAGCAGTGGTGGATAGACCATGGACGATGATGCGTCAGTGAAATGGTCTACGAGGGCCTCCCTTGCAACTGCGCGGCTGGTGGGAGTTATTTGACCATACTTCGCCGCGCTGGTCGGCGAGCGTTGGTGAAGGACATGCGGATACGAGTATTTTAAAGCAGTCTGCCTCGGCAGCAGACCATACTTTTTACCACCTGATGATGGACGCTTGTGTTGCGCCCGAAACGTCGTGATTTATTTTATTTTATACCTACGTGATGACTTTACCGAAAGAACCAACGAGTTGGGATTCCTGCAGTCACGAAAGCTTCAAATCAAGATTGAGTATTAATGAGTTTTTCAGCTACAGTATAGCCTTGAACCTCCGCGATAGAGCCCAGTGTTCTGGTGAAATTACAGTATAATTCAAATAAATAATTAGCTTCAGGAGCTTTGTTTAACCTCCGGAAGGAAATAGCATTTAATCTGTGAACCTATGGGACCTCATTGCCAGTGGCGATTGCTTGAACACAACATCCCTGGATCTACCTTGAAGGTCTCAAGGCCGATTGAGTTCCGTTTATTGCGACCTAAGTTTTTCAACAATTCACTTTTGAGCAGAGCGAGTCAACCGAACAAAACTGCCCTCGTGGTTGCTTAAGTTCGAATGCTCGACTCTTGACCAAAAAAAGCAGCGGGTTCAATTCCCGATAGGGTGGTAAGTGGCTAGGGGGGTTGGGGGGGGCGGGCTCCGGTGGTTTAGAGTGCTGAGCCACCGCGCCTGCGACCATAGGGTTTGACTCCGGGTCTCAGCCACCAAACCGAGATTAAAACCGGATGCTCGAAGTTCAATGGGTTGATTGGTGCAGTCACCAATTGCTGCGTACACAAATTAAAACCTATTACTTTTAGATTTGGTTCTGAACTTTGGCTATAAATTCTAGCCGTCGGGAGTAATACAGTTTAGTTAGGTTGTCGTGCCGTGAAGATTTGTTTGTTGCAGCGTGCAGCGCTCTCTCCCCCTTTTGTAGTGTTTGGATCAGATATCACTTGAAAATGAGCTCAGAATTCATATTTATATGTAGGGTCTCACGACTAATTTTGCTATGGTTCATAATTAGTTTCTTTAGGGATAGACCATTGCATAGGTATAATGTATTTTTTGTTACTATAAACTACACTAAACTATTTTATTTTACTGGGTAAGGCCCACTGAGCTATATAGCTGTTTTTCAGAAGTGACCTGGCCACAAATGATAGCTCAACGAAGTGGCTTATTGCGCTGAAATTTATCTCACCGAAGACTAGAAGCATGTTTATAAATGTAAAGGGAAAAAGCGGGAGGACCCGGATAAAAATCCACATGACCACGGGGAGAACATGCAAACCCCAAATATCAGGGTTGAACCCACGACATCCTGTATACCAGGTGAGGTAGTTAACATCCCGCCACCACAGCAGCCCTGTAACCCTCCACCACCTAACAGAGCCAATGATATCAAGTTGTCACGTTGGGCCATATGCCAATTCATTTTAGTTTTATCAGAAAACCAGATAAATGTTAAAAAGAAAGCAAAACTTTGACCGTTCTGTACGTCGTTTCGTCGGGAGCTCACAAAAGCTCGGCCCACCCCACAAGTGAATCTCTGACATCCACCTGCTACTGTAAGCTGTACTTTTACATGGGAGTGGTGCGATGCTGTACTGCGGCAGTTCTGAATTGGCACCGTCCCATCGCATGATAAGAAATAGCACAACCGGAATAAGAGTGCGGAAAATACGAATATATCTTCGTCGTGTTTGTCCCACGCTCTCATCCTCCCGGGTGTGGTTAATTCAGTAACTGGTCCCTTGCAAAATGTTTATATTTGGTGTTTGAACATCCTAACACCTCCTGTTGTATTGCCAGAGAGGGTAAAAAGCGTCTTCATATTTATCACACTTGTTCTTTTGATGCACTACCCCAATTGCTGCAGCCTGCGACACCTATGTTATACATGGTGGTTGCCCATCCAAGGACTATCTAGGCTCCACTCTGCTTAGCATCGAATTGGCCGCCGATATCGGGCACTTTTGGGAGATTTTGTCGTGGGCAAGTCAACGGCGGTCATCGCATCTACCGACTGTCGCACGCCCTGGGAATGTGGAGGCTACACCAATGACTCAGTGTGGACAGAGATGAGTATTGCCCCATTGCTGAGCAATGAGACACCTTGACCGAACTTGGCTGTGATGAGTCAACAAAATGTATTAGCAAACTTTTATCAACCACGTGTTTGAGGATTTAGCTCTCCAATGCGTTTGTAGCTTGTGCCGTGCGTTGTTCTGCACGAGTTCCTGAAGATGCTCCCCGGCAAATGCAAGCAAGACGTCAGACATCAATCGGTGACAACCCAAAAAACACGTCGGAAGTCTGGTTCAAGATTGTCTCGGTCTCTTGTTGCCGCGCAGATAGAGCGGCACACAGCTACCCGGCCAACATTTTTTAAATATATTTTTAAACTTTTGTATTTTCGAGCGCAGCATACCGGAACCGCTGTTCAAGGCCTGCACGACAGTGCCGGCTATTTGTAACGATCCCTTAAATAGCCCGAGCCAGTCGGTTGCCCCTCTTCACAAATACCGCGTGCCCGTGAGTGGAGCAGTGGAGGCTGGCGTCCCACATTCCTTTGTGATGCTGCCGCCCACCATCAGCTGTTGGGCCTTACTGAAGGGTGGTTGCTCCGGAGTGCCTGTCTCTCGTGAGTCCAAGCCTCCCGGCCTGCCTCTCCCCCTCCCTTCTCTTCCACCTCTTCCTCTCCCCTGTCTCTCGCCGCACACACGCACGCACACACGTCCCTCGCACACCCCGTCCTCCCACTCACGGCAGGGTCATCGCACGCGCGCGCGCACGCGCACACATTCTCCCGCTGCCAGAGCCGACTCGCCGGGGCCGACTTCTTTCAACTTTGCGTTCCGTAGCGCGACTGGCGGAGGAGGCGGCGGAGGCGGCGGCGGCACAGAAAAGGTCACCACCAACGTATCTGGAGCGAGCGCGCGCGCCTGATGAGGATGCCTTTCCGTTAGATTCGCGCTGCGTGCGTGAGCTGTGCCCGCTCGCTCTCTCCGGGCTGTTCGGGACATTTGGCTGCGAGAGTTTTGCCGTTGTGCCACGGATTACAGAGATTTAAAACCAGAAAACCCGTGGATCTTTTTTTTTTTTTACGACTCCGTCTTGCAACTTTCCTTCGGACGGGGCGACAAACAAAAGGTTCGTGGCTGACCTCCCACCACCCACCACCCACCACCACCGTCGGAAGGGGTTAGAGGGATGCGGAAGGTTGTGTGTGTGTGTGTGTGCGCGCACGGGAAATTTGGTTTTGTCGTTAGTTTCGACTTGAAACGACCAATGCGCTCTATATGGTGAAGGAATGCGTGGTGCGCGGTGCGCGATGGCACTGCCCGCGTCACTCCCGAGGGACGCGGGCGACTCCGCTCTCCATGGAGGCTCTCGAGCCGCTCCAGCCCGTGCCGGGCTGCGGGGCGTCGTCGTCCGTGGAGTTGTGTTGGGGCGCCGTGGTGGCGATGTTAACTCCCTCGTATGGTGTACAGGAGGGTCCTGGGTTCCGTCCCGACCCTGACGTCTGCTGTATATTTGAAGTTTGCGTGTCTCTCTCCCCCTGGTGAGATGTTAACTACCTCGCCTGGTATGCAGGAGGTTCTGGGTTCGATCCCGACCCTGACGTCTGCTGTATATTTGAAGTTTGTGTGTCTCTCTCCCCCTGGTGAGATGTTAACTACCTCGCCTGGTATGCAGGAGGTTCTGGGTTCGATCCCAACCCTGACGTCTGCTGTATATTTGAAGTTGGCGTGTTTTCTCTCCCCGTGGTCACGTGGATTTTTCTACGGGTTCTCCAGTTTTTCCCCTCCATATTTAGAAACACGTGTTTAGAGTATTTAGAAAAACGTGTTTAGAGTATTTAGAAACACGTGTTTAGAGTATTTGGTTGCGATAATTTTCCACGTCCATGAGCCAATTTGTCGAGGTATCATTTGTGGCCAGGTCGCTTCTAAAAAAGAGCTATATAGCTCAGTGGGCCTTACCTTCTTAAACAAAAATAGTTTAGTTTAGAGTTAATTTGGTTTGCTACGCGGATGATCCATGCCGTTTCGCCAGTTCGCCCAGCATTCTTTGGCGATAGGTCGCCCCGATTGCGAGCGAACGACATACAAACATTGCGGTTGGATAGCCGAGTGGTTCTCGAAATTATTTCATTTCAAGAAAAACTCAACGCATCCGTCAATAGTACAAGAGAGGAGAAACAACTGTATATAAAGGCAATATTTTGGGAAATGGTCATTCACTGCTGTGAAGAAGGGCAGTTACCAAAAAGGTTGCCTGTTTTTAATGTTTTATTTAACAGCCCTGCTTTGCTTTGAACAAGGGCCATGTCCTGAAATGGTGTATATTATATATTCCCACCCCCGTCCCCCCCCCCCCCGTTTATGGAAGTGTTATTCATTAATGCGTTGGGTTTTTTTGTTATTCACGTTTGTGCATTTCTGCCGAATTTCGAGTTTGTTTTGTTTTAACCTAGGGAGAACTGAAGAGACAGAGAGAGTTCATTTGTAAGAGCGACCTGGGTGACTGCCAACGTGGTATCAGGAATAAACGTTTCATTTTAAGAAGTAGCGTAATTTATTCTTAGAATTTTGCATGCATATCTATTTTTTGGAGCGGTCACGGGGAGTGATGGTGCCCACGGGGAGTGATGGTGCCCACTCGGAGTGATGGTGCCCACTCGGAGTGATGGTGCCCACTCGGAGTGATGGTGCCCACGGGGAGTGATGGTGCCCACTGGGAGTGATGGTGCCCACTGGGAGTGATGGTGCCCACGGGGGGTGATGGTGCCCACTGGGAGTGATGGTGCCCACGGGGGGTGATGGTGCCCACGGGGAGTGATGGTGCCCACGGGGGGTGATGGTGCCCACTGGGAGTGATGGTGCCCACGGGGAGTGATGGTGCCCACGGGGGAGTGATGGTGCCCACGGGGAGTGATGGTGCCCACTGGGAGTGATGGTGCCCACGGGGAGTGATGGTGCCCACTGGGAGTGATGGTGCCCACGGGAAGTGATGGTGCCCACAGGGAGTGATGGTGCCCACTGGGAGTGATGGTGCCCACAGGGAGTGATGGTGCCCACTGGGAGTGATGGTGCCCACGGGGAGTGATGGTGCCCACTGGGAGTGATGGTGCCCACGGGGAGTGATGGTGCCCACGGGGGGTGATTGTGCCCACGGGGAGTGATGGTGCCCACGGGGAGTGATGGTGCCCACGGGGAGTGATGGTGCCCACGGACTCGGGGCTGTAAACAGGCGAAGAGCATAGCTTCCGTGATTGTTTGTGCGTGAGGTTATCGTCATCACGGTATTATTAAACTATTACTGTCGTATCAGATGAGTGTTCTTATCTGACACTTGGGGCTGTGACTCGTTAGAATTGTTCCTCATCATACGTTTTTCCTTCCCCCTTTGTCATGGCATCAGCACATCCCCCCCCCCGCGCGCCACCGCCATCACAACTGTTCCCCCTTCTTCAAGTCCCCGCTGGTCTCCCACATTGTGGTTGTTATTGTTCTCCGCTGATATTACCACACCCTCAAGGGGAATGGCTTTGCATGCTCAGTTCCGCGGTGACGGCAGACCGTTGGTGGGCGACGCTGTGGCCACCGTTGTGTGTGTGTGTGTGCGCGCTGCCGCATCCGGACTCTTTTGGCGTTCGTGATGAAGTTGTTTTTTTTGTGTTGTTTTTGTGTTCCATTGCGTAAATGTAAATGCACGTGTGTATTTTTAACGTCCTTTGCACCGTACTCGGCAAACTTTGCTAATCGTAGGTGTGCGAGAAAGACAACAAACTAAACACAAAAAGCAATTCTCAAGGGATGAGTTTTCAATCCGGATTTAAAAGTGCATAGCTCCACTGGCTTCCTAATATCGAAAGGGAGAGCGTTCCAGACGGCCGCAGAAGCGCGCATCTGAAAGAGCTCGATGCGGCGACCGCCGTTTTTGTTCGACGGCCGGCCAAAAGCCGCCGCCGCCGCCGCTGCGAGGACGTCCAAGGGTCGGCGTGACGATGCTTTATGCTCCTTGACGAGATCAGCGAGGTGTTTGGTGGTTCATTTGTGGCGAGCACTTTGTGTGTAACGAGTGCGCCCCTACAGTGTGGCTCAACATGCACGCATACGTACAATGCTTCGGCTTGCGTTGATGCTGGCCCGGCATTGTCGGTGGTCGCGCGCCGTGCGTCCCTGCAGCCAACATCGCCGAGCAAAAGCCGTCGTCTGTTTTGCGGTACTTGGGAGCGCCGTACTTTGTTACCGTCAATGTTTCGCAGAGTAAATAATTGAATTAACGATATGCCAGGTCGTGCAAAGCTGGCTTTGGGGGTTGGTGTGGGGGGGGGGTGTTTCTCTTGACCACTGTTTAGAGTTCTCAGTAGCAGCAGTAATTTTCAATTCCACGTCTTGAATTCTGTCTGCCGTCAAATTGCCATTGCCATTTAAAGATCCGTCGCTTGAATAGCTTTTGTAAATAAACGTGGCAGGTCAGGAAGGCAGGCATGAGGTATTTTTTTCCCCCGAATTAACTTTGAGTTCTCAATATTTCCGGGAGTTGCGTACGGTGCGAAAGAAGTTCAACATACGTGCATACTCTGCACGTTGTTTCCTTTCCTCCTGCCAGCTCGTTATTGTTAAATAGTCACAGCGTAAATAACCTTCAAAATGTATTGAATGTATGTTGAACTGCTGTCGCATCATACGTAGCCAACCGTGCTAATTGTAGGTGCGGGGGAAGTACAACAAACTAAACACAAAAGCAGTTTTAAAGAAAATACTTTTTAATCTATATTTAAAAGTGCCACAGCTCCAGTGGCTTCCTAATATCGGAAGGAGGAAGAGCGTTCCAGACGGCCGCAGAAGCGCATCTGAAAGTGCGCGATGCGGTGACCACCATCTTACGGTTGCCAGGAGACTTGTTTGATCAGACCTCCACACCACCCTGGTTATTGTGGGTTGGTGAGGCTTTAGCCCAGGACCGGTTCACATTATGAACCACCGCTTCATGTTTGCCATAGCCGGCAATCGCAGCCCTAGGGCAATGAGCTATAACCACTGTTCTCTTCTTTCGTATGGCAGCAATATGTTCAGCAAGCGACATGCCAATGTTTGAGGCCTGCTGGCCACGATGAGAGGGCTTCATGAGAGAGTGCGTTGTAGTTTTACTGCTCCTTCTCCGTTGAAGGAGCGCAGACCGCAGTGGTATGCTATAAGGCTCGTAGTTTGGATGTCGTCATTTGGAATCCAGCTAACCCACTGAGCCATTGCTTAACAGATGTAATATATACAGGTATATATATTCTATAAATCACAGTACATAGTGTTAAACAAAGTGTAATTCATGTGTTTTATTTTTCACAGATGGGACCCGAGAAAGATGTGGTGGCCGTGCTTTGCTGCATGTTAATGATCAACTCGGCGTGCCTTGCCCAACAAGGTGAGAGAAAAAATCTGGATGCCAAGTTGTGAATTTTAATTTCCAACCGCTTGAACATTCAACCCGTGCACATGGTTAATGCCACGCAGTGGAAGTGTTTATCTTCACTGAAGATATTTCGCCCGGAGTTTATTTCATTTTGGCGGGTTACGTAAAGTAATGTGGGCGGCTCCCCAACAGCACGGTGCCAACCAAAACAAACGGGGGCGCCGTTATATATCGCGAATTTTTTTTATCGTCGCCCGCGAAGTGTTTACGAAGGCGTTGGAGGATGTTGCTTGCGTGTGCTGCGCGACGCCCCGCGAGTACGTGAGCGGCGTTCACTTTGCCGGGGCTTTGCTCTTGGTGGGAACGACGCGTGCGTTTCTCTTTTGGGAAAACCACTTTGTCGACAATTAAAGGCTTTGAAACAAAAAAAATCGGTGCGCAACATTGGCCAGTTGAAAATACAACTTTAACTTTGGTAGCGGGGACAATGACAAGTAGAGGGGTCACCCCCACCTGAGACCCTACCCCCCCCATTCTGTGAATTGTCACGATTCATTAATCAATTACTCTTTAACAATTCCATCGACTGAAGTGGCCACTTTGTTTACAGAGGTCACATAAACAAATTACATGCAACGTGTAAGAATAATCATAAATGCTAAGGTACAGACCTGCGTCAAGCCACTGCTGGATTCAGGCCTTCCCACGCCTTTCTGGTCACGGGGATTGTTTGACCGTACTTCTCCATGCCAGTTACAGCATGTTGCTGATGGGGGGGAGCAGGGCCAGTTTAGACATTTAACTCGCCACTGATGACATAGCCTTGGCTATTGCGCCAACCAATCAATGCACCACTGTTCCCTATACAACTTGTAAGAAATAAAAACACGTTGATGCTTGCACACGTGATTGGATGTGTGTATTCTGAGCTCAATAATGTTCCATTACTGGGTAAATCACTTTGTGCCTTTGCTATCACACAAGTACACATTACTATGTATGTATGTTGAGCTTCTTTCGCACCGTGCATAGCCAATCTTGCATATCGGAGGTGCGGGGGAAGGACAACAAATAAAAAACAAAAAGCAGTTCTCGAGAAATGAGTTTTCAATCTAAATTTAAAAGTGCATAGCTCCAGTGGCTTCCTAATATCGGAAGGAAGAGCGTTCCAGATGGCCTCAGAACCGCAACTTAAAGTGCGTGATGCGGTAACCGTCATTGTTCAATGGCTGGTTTGGATGTGTGTATTTTGAGTGAAATAATTCAACATACCTGGGTAAATAACCTTGTGCCTTTGCTATCACGCAAGTGCACATTGCGGAACGTGCCTGGATTTGAAGTGCATTTCAAGTCATAAAAATATATTTAGCAGCCTCGGAGGCCAAATCTTGCCCCACAGCTACTAATTTTACACTGGCCCTTCTGGAATGCATTCCAGTATTAAATGCCACTGTGGTGAGTCAGACTGTTACAAATCAAACTTGGTGGCTTTTGCTTCCAGATCTATGGCTGTGTTATTCACGTGTGTCAGGATGAAGTTATTAATTTATTTGTATCATAGTTTAGTCGTATGTATACTGCGAGATGCATTCATATACTGTACATAACATTTTCATTCATTAGGATGCATTCACGTTCTATTAATTAATTTTGGTAATTGAACTAGGCCTGGACCTTCGTTAGGTTTACTTAGCCTAAAGAGTGGGTACCTGTAAATCCGTACTGAGTGTGCATTGTGCTGGCTGCATCCATCTCGAGTGTGCTCTGCCAGCCTTCATAAGTGCTCTCTAACAACACGTTTACCATATATAGCATGCATTTAAAAATGTAAACAGGAATCTTTGTCGTCTTCTACCAAGACGAAGGCTGCATGAGCGACACAAGACAAACGGCAGGGCGAGTTCTGTAAGCGAGCAGCACCTATAAAGGCCGGAACGGCACACGAGGGGGGTGGGTGGCAAGCACCACGCCCAGGCCTCCATTGTCTCCCCATTGCCGATCTTTTCACATCGTATGAGGTACTCATTTGAGGTTGAGTCGACTTAGGGGAGGCCCAGGACCAGTTCAGATAATCGTCACTGCTGTTGGCCGTGAGCGGGAATTGAACTCGGGCGGCCGGTTTCGTAGTGCAGCGCGCTGACCACTACACCACCGCTCCCCATATTCACACACAATACAAAGACAAAAACAAAGACAAAGAACATCCGTATAGCCTTAACAGACTGTTGGGGCAAGTGCTGTTAGCGAGCACCTATGAAGGCCGGCACAGCACACGAGGGGGTGGGTGGCCAACACCACGCCCAGCCGCCTTTGTCTCCCCAAGTGGCGATTTTTACACACCTCACCAGGTACTCATGTGAGGCTGAGTCGACCTAGAGGAGGCCCAGGACCGGTTCAGATAATCGTCACTGGTGTTGGTCGTGAGTGGGAATCGAACTCGGGTCACCAGGTTTGCAATGCAGCGCGCTAACCACTCCCCACACACACACACAATACACACACGCAGGCACTCGCACTGTGCTGTGTATATACACGTGTGTGTGTTTTGTGTGCTGCCTGTCGCTTGCAGAGACGACCAACGAGTGTTTGTCTGCTAATGCCAAGTCATGTGGAGAGTGCATTCAGGTTGGCGGCAAGTGTGCCTGGTGTACAAAGCCTGTGAGTTGCACAAAAACACTCTTCCCGGGTCGAAAATGATTCATGAAATCATTAACCTGGCCGCCTCGCCAGAACAACCAACACAGCAATTTAGACATTTTTCTTGGACACAGAAAGCTTTCGAGCTTGAGGTTATTCATGTGTCAGTCTTTTACTGTGCTCCATGGATACCCCAAAAGCAAAACCTACAGGTGAAGTCACAGGTTCCAGGATTATTTCGTCTAAACCAGGCAAGAACGCAAGAGGGCCAGGATAGTCTTGTTTTCAAGAGTGACCATGGTCCCCAAAATGGCAAAAGCAATAAACATGAAAATCAAGTAGAGCGATGAAGCAAAAGGAAATTTTAGAACGTCACGGGAGAAAAAAAAAACTCGCGAAAATAATTCGAAAAAGTTGACTTTGACAAGTTATTTTGGAAAAATAAAACATTTTGCAGTCAAATTGAGTGACGGAAAAGTAAGTGTATATCTATGGCGATAATTGCACCGGTGTGTGTGTAATCGGACTAAAGCAGTTTTCTTCACTAATTTTCAGAGAGAGGGGCCACTTTCTCCCAATAAGACATCATCAGCGTAAGAGCCCCCCACACCGCTTGCAAGGGGCCACACATCAGGGGCCACTCCAAAACCCACCGGGGGCCGCCAGTGGCCCCCTGCAGGCCTCGCAATGAAGAACACCGGACTAAAACATTGGGCCACACAAGGCGACAGGCCGTGTGGTTCGTCAAGCCCAGAGGAGGTGGGGAGGGGGGGAGGTTCTGGAGCGTCAACGTGGGGGTTGGATCTGTGACAGAGGTAGAGGAAACACATGGGAACCGCATTGGTAACTCTGTCACGTGCCAATGACGAATGCCGATGTATGCGTATCAAACGTATACCGACGTATGCGTATCAGCCAGTGAATTTTTTTTTCTCTGGGTCCTCCGGTTTTTCACTGCACATGTAGCAACGTGCGTTTCGATTATTTTGATTATTTGGCTGCTTAAAATTTCCATGCGACAAGCTACTTCGTTAAGCTGTCGTTTTTGGCCAGGTCGCTTCCCTCCGCATTTAGAAACGTGCATTTAGATTATTTCGCTGCTATAAATTTCCAAGTAATGAGCCACTTTGTTGAGCTATCATTTGTGGCCTGGTTGCTGCTGAACAAGAAGCTAAATAGCTCGGTGAGCTTTACCTGGTAAAATAAAATTAGTTTAATTTAAATTTGTTTCGTGACTTTTTTTACCTTTCCCACTTTCTGACCGCCCCTACTGGACATCTGTGAAAAGAGTTTTAGAGCACATCAGATTCCTCAAGTATAAATTCTGATTCTGACTCAGGTTTGTACGTGTGGTGTCCATATGTCCGCCGTTACAAAGGCACTATTTCTTTCAAAATTTTCGGCTCCAGCATTCCTGATATGAGTTCCGGAGGCCAAGAACATAAAAACTAAAGGGACTTGCATAATGCATCAATAGTTACTGAAAATATGAATGCCAAATACCATGACAGGCCAAATAAGTAGTAAGCAGAATTTTAAAATCAATCCTGAATTCAACAGAAAGCAAGTGCAGCGATTTAAGGAATTTCAGTAGCATTTTGTGAACAAAATTTGCAAGTAAGCACTTTGACCTGCAGAATTTTAAACCACACCCGCACACATAGACAAAGATCCCCCATATAGCCTCAGATTGTTGGAGCAAATGCTGTTAGCAAGCACCTATGAAGACCGGCACAGCACACGCGGTAGTGGGTAACCAGCACCATGTCCGGCCGCCTTTGTCTCCCCAGTGGCGATATTTACGCACTGCACCAGGCACTCAATAAAGTCTTGAGCACACACACACACACGTGTGCATACACACACACGTGTGCATACACACACATGTAAAATGCACGCACGCACTCAGGAACCGCCGTCACCACCCGCTCACCGCTTGTGTCGTTGTCTCCGCCCGTCGCTCGACGATTTTAGGACTTCACCGGGCCGGGGGAGTCGAACTCGGCCCGCTGCGACTATGCGGACAACCTGGAGCGCCGCAAGTGTCCGCCTACGTCCATAGAGAGCCCCACGGGCAAGGTGAAGATCCTCAAGGACAAGAAACTCACCAACCGCAGCAGCAAGCTGCCGGCCAAGGACATCACACAGATTGCTCCGCAGCTGATCGAACTCACGCTCCGCTCAGGTGCGCGTGCGTGCATGTGCGTGCGCGCGTGTACGTGCGCGCATGGTGGCCGTGTGGAGTTCCCCTCCTACCTTCGCCGAGCACTTGGCAGCTCGACGATTATCACGGCACGGTTGGCTACGTTACGTTGATAAAAGAGTTCGACATGCGTGTGCGTGGTGTCGTCCGGCGGTGGCTGCTGGCGGGTGAATAAACGGGGCTTTTGGCACTTGCGTTAAGCTAGTTTTACATAGGCGGCGATCGCCAGCCACCGCTCCCACCCTTCCTGCCTGTAAAAAAAACGATGGTGTGTATCTCGGTCATTGCAGCCTTACTCGAATTAGTGGGTCAACCTTATCCTCATGGCAGGCGTTGCGTGTTATTTCTCAGTGCGGTTAAGTTAAGTTGTGACCCGCCCCCCCCCCCAGTTCACTGCGTTGTAAAAAAAAAAAAAAATTAGTTTTTACTGCCGCCCACCGGACCATGCAGGTCAGCCGCAGAACATCGACCTGCGCTTCCGCCGCGCGGCCGACTACCCCATCGACCTCTACTACCTGATGGACCTCTCCTACTCCATGAAGGACGACCTGGAAAACGTCAAGAAGCTCGGCACGGAGTTGCAGCAGCGCATGAAGGACATCACCAGCGACTTCTTTATCGGTGAGCCGAGCCTGACTCCACTGCAAAAGTTATCCCGGGGGCGTAACGACAGCTGTGAGAATCCCGCGGCGTCCGAGGGGGTCTCCACTCGGCCCCGCGTCCAAGAGCAGCACGTGGTTTGTGGGAGACTGCGAGGGCACGTCGGTTGGCTACGTACGGTGCGAAATAATTTTGACGCACGTACGTAGTACAGTTCTCCCTCGTTATTCGCGGGGGATACGTTCCGGAGATGTTCGCGAACAGCAAATTTCGCGGATGATGATTTTGGCCGACGGTAACCTATAATTATTAATGAATTGCTTTAAGTACATAAATAAGCAATTAAATATATGCAAATTATCACATCACTTTAACAAATCACTTTCTCGCATCACATTCTCTCTCATCACTTTATCTCATCACTTTCTGTCTCGACGCAGTCCTGTTGAGTTCCGCATGCGATTCGCGGATAGCCAGAATGGCAGGTAGCAAGTCTGAATAACAAGGGAATGCTGTACATACATCTTGGAGGTCGTGTGTGGCTGAGGGATGGAAAACGTTTACGAGGTGCGGTAGCATCAACGGCATTGGCCACGATTACCTCTGGATCTGAACGACGAGGTGTAACGACGCATTGGGGAGTGTGCGTAGCAGTATCCTGTGGTCAGCACACTATCCACTTGTGCAGTTTGCACAAATTTGCACCTCCAATGAGCGCGGTTGGCTACGTACGGTGCAAAAGAAGTTCAACATACGTACAAGTTCACAGGCTCAAATTCCACTGGTTGAAATTACCGAAGTGCTGTAAAATTATAGAGAAGAGCGGTATATTAGTGAGCCCTAGTATGTGTAAGTCCAGCTTACAGATGGCCTTACTGTGGTGTGCCTCTGTATTCTGTCGGCTAGACAGAGGCGGAGGGATTTAAGAAACTCGCCCCTTGTTTCAGCTGCTGCACTCCGGGAGTTTTTGAATAGAACCGGTGACCCCTGGTCCAGTGTGCTGACCAGCAGCAGCATCAGCATCCCACTCCAACTGGTGTCGAAGTTTCACTGTGTGGGGCGTTGCTCGGCGAGCTCTTAACGTTGCCTCCGCGTCGAATTGCCTTGCGCAGGCTTTGGATCGTTTGTGGATAAGACGGTGATGCCCTACATCAGCACCACTCCCAAGAAGCTGCAGAACCCGTGCGGTAACAATGACGAAAAACAGGTACGTTTTTACGTAATCGCTTAAAAAATATATATTTCCGTTGCGTACATTTAAGCGGGGCGTTTATTCCAGTAATACAAGTAAAATAAGTATGCGTGTATGTTGAACTTTTTCCGCACCGTACATCGCCAACCGTGCTAATCGGAGGTGCGGAAATGTAATATTTCTGTACCTTGGAAGTCTTTCCCGTACTCAACTGCACACTGGGGGACGGCTTATCAACAGCTATCCATCTTCTGCCAGCGGTGCCGCTCATATTGACAATCGGGGAAAGCGAATGTGGCTGAGCAGGGCACGCCACTCAGTGAGACGCCACAGTGGCGAGATGTTAACCACCTCGCCTGGTATGCAGGAGAACGGGGGAACGATCCCGACCATGACGCCTGTATATTTGGAGTTTGCACGTTCTCCCCGTGGCCGCGTGGATATTTCCCCGGGTCCTCCGATTCATCCCTCCACATTTAGAAACATGCCTTCAGAGTATTTGGCTGCTCTAAATGCCCACGTGATAAGCAACTTTGCTGAGCTATCATCTGTGGCCAGGTCACTTCTGAAAAAGAGCTACATAGCTCAGTGGGCCTTACCTGGTAAAATAAAAAAATTTTTTAGTTTAGATGATGGCCAATGGACAAGACTGGTGAGGGAATGGCAGCCAAAGAAGGGAAGAGACTTCCAAGGGTACAACCGCCGTGGGGAGAGATTGAGTGTCACGTTATCAGTTCTTATGCAGAAGTGAGATTAACGGAAAGGTCACTAGACAACAGTATGGGAAGGCCTTCGTCCAGCAGCTTATAGACAATGGCTGATCGTTACGATGACCCAAACGGTACCATCGCCGCTCAACAGCTCCCTGTCCGTCCCCCCCCCCTTTCCCCCCACCCCTGTCCCCACCTCCCGTACCAGGTGTGCACCAGCCCGTTCAGCTACAAGAACGTGCTGTCTCTCACCTCGGAAGGAAATAAATTCAACTCTCTCGTGAGTCGCCAGAAGATCTCCGGGAACTTGGACTCTCCCGAAGGTGGCTTCGACGCAATGATGCAGGCAGCCGTGTGCGGGGTGAGTGTGCGAGCGTGCGTGCGTCTTTGGGGAGCGGTTAGCACACTGCAACCCGAGTTCGATTTCCGCTCATGAACAACATCAGTAACGATTATCTGGTCCTGGGCTTCCCGTAGGTCGACTCAGTCTCGAATAAGTATCTGGTGCAGTGTGTAAACATCGCCACGAAGGCGACAAAGGCAGCTGTTCGTGGCGCTGGGAACCCCCACCCTCTTCGTGTGCCGTGCCGGCCTTCATAGGTGGTCTCTAACAACACTTGCCCCAACAGTCTGTTAAAGGCTTTACGGGGGACCTTTGCCTGTGGGGAGCCGGTAACGCAGCGGTTCGCGTGCTCTCTACAAACCCGGCGACCCGAGTTCAATTCCCGCTCACGGTCACCAACACCAGTGACGATTATCTGGGCCTGAATATAGTTGAGTTCATCGTGAAGCTCCCAGCAAGCCAGTCGGTGCGCGGAGCAAATTGCCGGACGCCGCTCGCCAATAACGCTCAGCGGCTCGACCCAGAAACGCGTCAAAGAGCTGCACGGCGGCATCAAGCGCGACAGCCTGCTGCTGCGCGGTGGCACCACCCAGGGTGGCGGTCGCTATCGCTGCGCCAGCTCCCTCATCGCCCCGACCCCCCTCACCACCTCCTTCCTCTCACCGCCCCCCGCCGCTCGCCTCCCACGTGTCCCCCAGAACAAGATTGGCTGGCGCAACAACACGCGTCTGCTCGTGTTCTCCACGGACGCCGGCTTCCACTTTGCGGGCGACGGGAAGCTGGGCGGCATCGTGCTGCCCAACGACGGGCGCTGCCACCTGGACGGGAAGGGGATGTACACGCAGAGCGACTTCTACGTGAGTCGCACGGCGCCCCGTAGCTTTTTCACCCCCCTCCAGCTACAGCCAGGCCTATCCCAACCCCCCCCCCACCCCCTCCTTATCAATCTCCCGTAGTTGTGCGGTCATCAAAACTACACGACCACTTGCAATAACCCAATGCTTAATTCGAAATCATTTTTGTCCCGTGTACGATTTTATAATTGCTGTGAAGCGCCTCGGTAAAGGCTTGATAAGCCGAGTCTTGATAAGGTAAGGTCCGCGCTCGTCCGTGTTCTCTTGTCTCGCTGCTGCACGCGAGCGACAGGCTATCGCATTATCCTCACGGCAAGGTTGATCTGCGGAGGGTTCAATTTGCGACGCGGGCACCGTCTCTGTGCGGCGTTCATGTGGTCTCCGCCTGTTCCACAGGTTCTCCTGTTTCTTCCGATAGCTAAGAAAATCATACAATGCAACTGGTAATTATTGGCCAAACATCCACAATGCTCAGTTATTACATTATAAACTACTCAATTGGGGTAACACACAGCAGCAGCATCGCCCCCTACTGTGAAAACATTGGCAGGACGCTTCTGAAACGGGTCTTGAGACTCATTGAGGATTTACTGGGTAAATTTTTACTTTAAAATTTCGTGACTTTAGGAATTCATATTCTTTGGGTCTTTCGGTAAAGTCACGTAGATAGAATGATAATAAAAATAAAGTGACTAAAAATAATTAAAATAAAAAGAATAAACAAAAAAACGCTAATATAGACTGTAGCCTGGTAATTAAGTTTGAGTGTACTGGCAGTCAATAATATGGACTGTAGAAATGGTTATTATGCTGGGTGAGTGTTCTGGCAGTCTATAATGTAGACTGTAGCAATGGTTATTATGCTGGGTGAGTGTTCTGGCAGTCTATAATGTAGACTTATTCTTGGTTCTTTCGGCAATTTTTTATTACTATAGACTGCCAGTACGCTCACCTAGGTTTAGAACCAGGCTACAGTCTACATTATAGACTGCCAGTACACTCACCCAGCTTAATAACCATTGCTACAGTCTACATTATAGACTGCCAGTACACTCACCAAACTTAATTACCAGGCTACAGTCTACATTATAGACTACTAGTACACTCACTCCGATTAAGAACCAGGTTACAGTCTACATTTGTGTTTTTTATTTTTTATTCACTTTTTATTTTTCCATCTACGTGACTTTACCTAAAGAACCAAAGAATACGCTTTACTGGGTAAACAAGCATAACAATACTAATAATATGAGCTCATGGAACAATTTTTCTGTCATTTTAAAAGTGCTCATGACAGTGAAAGGTGTACAGTCAACTGGAGGGGACGCTGGAGGTCGAGAGGGGCTAATATAAAAACCACATCGAGGCTATTTTGCCTATGCCTTTGTAGTAGGTGCCAGTACCTACACTCTACCCCACCACACGCGGGCCTGCCGATTGACGACCTGCGGAGTGCCGATTCATGCTGCTGGGTGGACAGAGGCAGCGGAGGAGAGAGATTTGGGAAACGTGCCCCATTGTATCAACAATCTGGGAGATGTATTGGACCTCTTGATCGCAAGTCCAAGCGTGCTGACCGTTACAACCATGGCAGCCGCCCATCACCATGGACAGCATTCGACCGTTACCTCATCAGTGACCCAAGCCACCACCGGTCAACCAGGTTTTGACCTCGCCGTGCAGGGGCTTTTTTTACAGAACCGTCTCCGCGCTGGACAGCGTTATGGCACGGCTAACGTGAGCCAGACGGGGCATCTCGCAACAGCTCCCTTCCGGCAGCAGTGGCGCGAGCGAGACCTTTGCAGTGCTGCGCCTTTACCTTTAAATGTACCTCCTGTGGGGAGAAAGTTGCGGGGCGGAATCTCGGACCACAGCCGGTGTCGCGGTGATGACGCAAGTGGCCAATGCGTGGCTTCTCCACTTAAGAGGCGAGTCCGACTTCAGTTGGCGGCGATTGCCACCGTTTAGGAGCAGTCGGAGGATGACAACCACGCCGGGCAGAGCACTGATGAGGAAATAGGGATGAAGCCGTGCGAATTATCCGTGACCTCTCGCGCGGACCCGTGTGTGCCTACAGGACTACCCGTCCGTCGCGCAGCTGGTGCAGAAACTCGGAGAGAACAGCATCCAGCCCATCTTCGCTGTCACGGAAGAGTTCTATAACGTCTACAAGGTAACGAAGAATCTTTTTTTCCGTGTGACAGCACGAACGGATCTGCTTTATTAAAAATGAACGTCTGGGTTTGGTCAGCTTCGTGACCAGTGCCGGATTATCGTAGTAGCAACAGTAGCTACATGTGCTACGGTCCCTGTACTTTCAAGGGCCCCGCGCTCAACGCTTTCAAGCTATCAATTCCGGTTCAGTGATTCTACACTTGCTCTATTACTATAGTACTATACTGCCTTCAACTTTTACGAACAACTGGGTGTTTAAGGTTAGCGATTTGTCGTATTATCTGTGGCTGTATAGCAAATAAAAATAAAATTACTTTCCTGTGCAATAAAAAAATGTACGTGGTTTAATATGTGTTTTTATATTTAGGGCCCCTTTATAACATCTGCTATAGGCCCCGCGCTAGCTTAATCCGGCATTGTTTGTGACGTTACAGTTTGAATCGTCATAATGATCATCAGCCATGATCCGTTCCTGGATGATGGTTCCACGAAGCAATCGCTACTATTCCTCATGGCCCTGTGCTACAACAATCCGTCTAGCACTCGCACATGGGCTGATTTCATTGCTGCATGTCCACGGTGGAAGTCCTCTTGGGCATATGTCTTCTCCTTTGGCTACCACTCCTCTCATGAGTCTCGACCACCGGTTCATCATTTCCGGATCTAAGTCGTGGCAGGTTTTGTGGTGCACTGATGGAAAACTTTTTTCTCCTTCAAGCACATCGGTTTGTTGATTTTCGTGATTAAATTCAGGTTTCCTAAAGGGCTACAAACCCGCCGTTGTTGGACCCCTTTCATCGTTTTGACCCCCGAGTCCCCATTCAGCAACGAGGGCCGTTAGTTATAATTGCAGTTTGCCAATAAAACTAAAATACTCTTGCTCATTTGATACCTCGCAATGAATGCGCACCCTTGTGATGGCACAACGTGTCATCGTATCTACCAAGGTTTATCTGCGAGTATTGGTGTGGAGTTAAAAAAATAAAAATAAACGTGTCCTTTTTTTTGTGTTTTATTTACCCTGCTGCGCGATTTGCTTCAGGAACTCAGTAACTTGATCCCAAAATCGGCCGTCGGAGTTCTCTCTTCGAATTCCAGCAACGTCATCCAGCTCATCATCGACGCCTACGATGTGAGTGAATCGCCCTCTCGTCTTTAAAACGTGTGAGCAGTCGATCCTGACGAGCGTGAGTCGACAAGCCGATGTTATACGGGCGGTGTGTTATGATTATGCTCACGGAGAAAAATAAACTTTGAAAGAGCACGCAAAAAAGAAAAACCGACAAACAGCGCAAGTTGGACATCTGTGAAAAAGAGGTTTATAGCTTGCCGGATGCCCCCAGTATCATTTGTGTAAGAATTAGGATTAGGGTTACGTTTCTTATCACTGTGGTTGGAATTAGGCCGGGGGTCAAACTACCATTGGGTGGTGGGAGTTTCAAATTATAATAATAATAATAATAGAATTCTATTCTGACCCGGGGTCACAATTTTGCACCGTACGTAGCCAACCGTGCTAATCGGAGGTGCGGGGTAGGGGGGGGGGACAAGAAAATAAACACAAAGAGCAGTTCTAAAGAAATGAGTTTTCAATTTAGATTTAAAAGTGCACAAAGCTCCAGTGGCTTCCAAATATCGATCCCCGCAAGAATCCTGTGGCAATTGATTCTGGGAATTAGAATTTACAGAGAATCCAGAAAGATCACTGTTGGTCAACGGGGGGGGAGGGGGGGTGGTTAGAATTCTGGTGGGGATCAAGACGATAATCGCACACGGGTCTGGGCGGAAGTCTTCGTGCCCCGCGACGCTGGCGCACGTGCGTGGGTGTGGCGGCTCACGGGCAACGCGGTGGCGGCGCTGGCATGCAGGCACTGTCGTCGGAGATTATCCTGGAGAACAGCAAGGTGCCCGAGGGCCTGCAGTTCCGCTACACCGCCGTCTGCAAGGACAACAAGGTGTTCCGCGGGGAGCAGGGCCGCAAGTGCTCCGACATCCAGATCGGCGACGAGGTACGGGCGCGAGGGCCGCACGCGGCTCACGGGACGACGAGGCGAGTAACTTGATCGACTAAAAAAATTTAAATCACGATTTTTACATTAATTAAGTCGTCAGCCTCTCGTGATTTTTTTCTTTCATAAGGGGGGCGGACAACGGCGCGCTCGTAATATAACTCGGGAGAAATAAATGATTGGCGAACAAAAACATGTTTTATTTTTTATTTAAACGAGCACGCGCTTGCATCGAACGGGGTGCAGGTCCAGTTCACGATCGAGGTGGTCGCCACAAAGTGCCCCAACAACGGCAAGGCGCACGAGGTGGAGATCCGGCCGCTGGGCTTCCAGGAGAAGGTGACGGTGCTGCTGCGCTTCGAGTGCGAGTGCCAGTGCCACACCTCCGGCGTCAGCAACTCCATGGAGTGCCACTTCGGCAACGGCACGATGGAGTGCGGCGCGTGCAGGTACCGGCGTCCCCCGCGTCGCCCGGGTTCCCCCACCAACGCGCCGTGGTCGGCAGAGGCCGGCGGTGGTGGCGACGACGGCCACCCCCCTTGGTGGCAGTGGCAGGCGGCGCGTCGGTCACTCCGCGGCAAGAGGTTCGCGGTTTCCGAGTCCTGCAGGGCCGCCCTGGTTAATTATTCTCGTGATGTGTCAAAATATTGGAATGCCCACATTCCGTCTGCTTTGCGGTGGACATTAAAGACCCCCCCCCCCCTAAAAAAGGCGGTGGTTGCATTCCTAAAGAACACTGCATGATGGAAAAATGGCGTGATGATAAAAAATATAGGGGGTAAAGCACAGTCCGCGATAACACGTGAGATGCGTGTATGCAGGCTGAACATGAGGCGCGCGGGTAGTGTCTAGAAGCATCCACCAGCATCCCGCCTTGTGTGATGCTCCGCCGAGGGCAGCCGTACGACCGCTTATTCCTGCACGCGCGACGCAGTTCTGTTCACTCGATCGCATCCGCGTTATAAGAAAATGCATTCCCTCATACATTCATTGTGTTATATCCAAATGACGTGATGAAAAAATGAATTATAGATGCACAGGCTGTAGTTTGAAAATTACTCTCGACTTACATAATTTCCTAAAGCCACGCATCAACGTTGTCCCCGCCTGTAAACCTGCTGCAGCTTTTACTCATCCGTGAAAGAACGCCTTTCGTGACAGCCTTGCACTCTTAAGAATGGCGCGAACACCGATGTAAAAATTATTTCATTTGAAGGGGATAGATTTGACTCCTGGGCTCGGGGTCAGGTGTTGTAGTGCTCGGGCTGCGAGGTGGCCAAGAGATGGCAGCAGCACCGCAGTGGATTCTTTAATCCATTTCCATCCCTTGTAATGTCGTTACAGCTGAATAACCTTCATCGTTTCCAAGAGATTTGAACTCCGCCTGCCAAAAAGTTTCCCTCTCTGGCCACCTGCCAATCGGCGTAGGCGCGACGGCGCGCTGTTAGCATCACCGCAAACCGAACGCACTGCGCCGAGCGACGAGATGAATTCCCCAGTGTTCGTAGATGTTAACTCATTCACCAGGTATGCAGGAGGTCGTGGGTTCGATCCCAACCCCGACGGCTGTATATTTTGAGTTTGCATGTTCTATCTCTCTCTCTGTGGTCGTACGGATTTTTCTCCGGGTCCTCTGGTTTTTCCCTCCAGATTTAGAAGCATGCCCTTATATTACTTGGCTGCTATAAATGTTCACGCGATGATAAGCCACTTCGTAGAGCTATCATTTGTGATAGCCAGGTTTCTTCGGATGAGCCTTACCTGGTAAAATAAAAAAAAAGACATTTGGGCTGTGAATTGCACAGCAGATGGCAGGACAGTTAGCAATGAACTCTTTAATTTGTCCCCCCCCCCCCCCATCTATGTTTGGGTGTTCTCCGGATACTCGTAATTTTCTCCCACAAACCAAATACTTTCGTTCGTTAGTCTCTCAATCCGCTTGTCCTGGTGAGGGTTGCGGTGGCAGCGTGTTGAGTAGGGCAGTCCACACCTCCCTTTCCCTGGCGACAGACCCTAGCTCTACTATACACGAAATACACTACACTACTATACACTACAATACACAGACTCTAGCTCTTCCTGGAGAATTCCCAGGCGTTCCCAGGCCAGCTGAGCGACAGAGTTGCACCAGCGTGTCCTGGGCCGACCCCGGAGTCTTCACCCGAACACTCTGTAAAGTAATTGACCAGACATCCCCATTGCAGAGATTTCTTCTGCAAAAGAGTTGAGACTCGGTGAGGCTTTCCTGGATAAAGCACACGTGGTTATGATTATGTGGTGATTATTCAGTGCTTGTGGTTACGTGTCTATCAGTGGGCTCATTTTTTTGCATCGCCCATTCAGCATCGCTGACGCCCTCGGTTTGAGCCCAAAGACGAGTGTGCGAATGAGATTCTCATAATGACCTTGTCCAGAACAACTACGCTGATAATGATGTTTTTTTGTCACGGTCGCAATGACAACCACAATATCAACGATGAAGACAACTACGGTGGTGGTAATAATGATGATGCCTACAGTTGTGATGATGATTGCAGTGATGACGATGACGGGTGCGAGTAGCAAACCAGTATGACCATGGCGATGGATAACGGTAATGGTGATGATGACGACGACAAGCACGACGACGACGAGGACCACAATAATGATCGTATCGGCGTGCCAACGGCGAAGACGTTGACGGCGACATTAACAGCATTGACGTCGGCGACGACGTTGACCACGACGTTGATAACGACAACGTTGATGACGTTGTTGACGACGACGACGACGCCGTTGACGCCCTCGCCCCCCGCGTGTCTGTGGCGAAGGTGCAACGAGGGCCGGGTGGGGCGCCTGTGCGAGTGCGGCACCGACGAGGTGAACTCGGAGGACATCGAAGCGTCGTGCAAGCGCGACAACTCGTCCACCGTCGTGTGCAGCGGGCGAGGCGACTGCGTGTGCGGCGAGTGCATCTGCTACAAGCGCGAGAGCCCCGAGCTCGTGTCCAGCAAGCACTGCGAGTGTGACAACTTCTCCTGCGACCGACACAACGGACTCATCTGTGGAGGTGGGGGAAAGTAAACGATGAACTATTTTTTTTACCAGTTAAGTAAGGACCCACTGAGCTTATATAGCCTAAGACCGACATTAGGCCCAAACTATTGGCCTGACCTTAACCCTAAACCTCCATACAAAAGTTGTTCAGCCCCCCTGCCACTGCTCCTCTCCCCCCTCCCCCGCAGTGGTGAGATGTGAACTATATTCTTCGTTCTTTCGGTAAAGTCACGTAGAAGGGAAACAATAAAATAATAAAATTATAAAACAATAAAATTCTCGCGACGTTTCGACTGCAACACAAGCAATCATCATCAGGTGTGAAAACCACAGCAAGAAAATTTGAAAAAAGTGGCGGTTTTTTTACGTTAAAAAAACCCGCCACTTTTTTCTAATTTGATGATGATTTTTTGTGCTGCAGTCGAAACGTCGTGAGAATTTTATTGTTTTATAATTTTATTATTTTATTGTTTCCCTTCTACGTGACTTTATCGAAAGAACCAAGAATATGAATCCCTGCAGTCACGAAAGCTTTAAATCAAGATGTGAACTACTTCGCCTGGTACGCAGAAGGTCGTGGGTTCGATCCCGACCCTGACGCCTGCTGTATAGTTGGAGTTGCGTGTCTCTCTCCGTGGTCATGTGGATTTTCTCCGGGTCCCCTCCGCATTTAGAATTAACATTTGTTGCGCTATCATTCGTGATAGCCAGGTTGCTTCTCAAAAATAGCTTGCGTAGCTCAGTAGGCCTTACCTGCTAAAATATAAAAAAAGGTTTTATATTTTAGTTTTACATTCATGTCCCCTTCCCCCCCCCCCGGACATCATCTCTTGCATTATCATCCTGATTCCCACTTACCCCCCTCCGCCCCCCCCCACCCCCCCCCTCCCCCATACCGCCCCACCATTCCTCCGACCGGCCCCCCCTCCCAAGGTAACGGACGCTGCGAGTGCGGCAAGTGCGATTGCTTCAGCAACTTCACGGGCAGCAGCTGCGACTGCTCGTTGGACGCGCGCTCCTGCATCGGCCGCAACGGAGAGATGTGCTCGGGCCGCGGCAACTGCACCTGCGGCACGTGCACCTGCACCGACCCCAAGTACCAGGGGCCCAAGTGCGAGCACTGCCCCTCGTGCCCGGACGCGTGCGAGCTGCACAAGTAAGTGGTCGCCTGTGTGTGGGGGACTGCGGCGACGAACGCCGACGCCGGAGAATGTGACTTCACACTGCCCCGAATGTAGATTTGAATCGTAATAATAATAATAATTTAAATGCATAATGCGCCGCGCAGTATTTCGCGTGCGTCTTGTCGAGAGGCGCGAGGAGGAACCACAGACGAGCGGCAAAGCTCTGCGGTCATTTATATGGGAGCCACGGTGGCAAGATGTGATGTTAACTACCTTACCTGGTATACAGGAGGTCGTGGGTTCAATCTCAACCCTGATGCCTGTATATTTGGAGTTTGCATGTTATCCTTGTGGTGGCAGGGATTTTTCTCCGTGTCCTCCAGTTTTTCCCTCCACATTGAGAAACATGCACTTGTAATATTTGGCTGCTTTAAATGTCCACGTAATAAGCCACTTTGTTGAGCTATCATTTGCGAGCCGGTTGCTTCTGAAAAAGCGCTCTATAGCTCAGTGGGTTTTACCTGGTAAAATCAATATTGTTTTAGTTTACTGCAGTGTTCACTAGTTGTCATAGGTGGGCCACCTTTGCCGATAAGGGCTACCAAAAATTTGAAACCATTGGGTTTGACAGTGATGATGGTGGGGGGGTGTTGTCACGTGTTGTGTATTGTCGGGGAACCACACGTCAGGGGGCCGCACTAAAGGCCACCAGGGGCCCCCAGCGGCCCGCGGGCCTTGCAATGGAGAACGCCGAGTTTAGAGACTCGCGGTCCCAGCTCCTAAACGGCGACGCCGCTCCACAGGGACTGCGCGGAGTGCAAGGCCTTCCAAACGGGGCCCAAGAAGGAGACGTGCGACAAGTGCGAGTTCGAGGTGAAGAAGGTGGAGGAGATCGAGAAGAGGGAGAGCACGGAGCACACGGCCTTCTGCAAGGTGAAGAACGAAGAGGACTGCTGGTTCTACTTCAACTTCACGTACGCCAAGAGCGACGCCGAGGTCTACGTGCAGACCAAAGTCGGTACGTTTCCCCGCCGCCACGGTTGGCGGCCGCCTGCATTGTCCACGTCGTAGCGTTGTTACCACCGATGTCATCATTGTAAATTGTCATCGTCATTATTATCGTCGTTGTTTTTATCACCGTTGTTGTTATTGTCTTTGCCATCTTTGTCATCAACGTTTTAATTTTTTTTGTCGCAATTTTTGTCATTATAATCGTCAATTTTAATTGTTATCGTCGTCATCATTGTGTGCAGCAAAGAGCAGCGCAGCAACATCTGTCGTGGGGTCCTACTTCCAGGCTCCCACGTCCATGTCCCCTGCCTTCAGCTCGCAATGACCAGCATTATGAAGTACGCCCAAATAACTCCCACGACACTTGGGAGTTATTTGAGGCCTTCGTCCAGTGGTGACGTTGGCCCCCTTTTTAGCTCACTGTTTTAGTTTTCTAGGCTGGGCGCCTCGGTTAAAAAGTTATTGCTTCTTTGGCCACTTCCGTAAATGAACGTTTAGCATTTGGGAGGAAACTGGAACGCCCAGAGAGAAAGCCAATGCAGTTTAACACCCAAAAGACTTTCGCGACCAATATCATCCATAGTACAGATTTATTTTTTTTTGGGTTAGATCGCGTAAACAGTATTGTGTAGAAAGCCAACGCGCGCGCGAGGAGATAACCCTCAAATGCACTTCGCTGATGGATTCAATAAATCCATTACCGCGGTGCCATCTCCCGGTCAGGTCGCGGCCCAAACGTTACCGCTAAGCACGAGTGGCTGTTTCCGCTCGGTAAAGTTTCTAGCGACCCTGGGCAGACGGCCCCGTCGCCGCTGTGCGCCATGCAGTTTGTGACGACGAAGCTGGCGCTCGCTGCGCGCCGCACTGAGCAGAACTGGCAGGTGTCCAGAGAGGGGGGGGGGAAACATTTTCTAGGCGGCGTGAACGATCGCTTGGATACAACGAAAATCAATCGGCTCGACCTACTTACGCGTGATGAAAATTAGCCGTTGCCCGAAATGTCACCTACGTATATATATTTTTCCCCCCTTCTTAAGTCCGCAGTCTTGTTTGAAGAATGTGCTGAGGGTTTTCTTTTTCATTGTGCTCGTGCACAAATGTTAATGCAGCGGCAACGCCAGATGATTTGTTCACTTTCCTGCAGTGATTTTTGTTTCGCAAAAGTATTTTTTTTTTTTTTTACCGTGGTGGGCACAGCAACGGGTTTGGGAAGCTGCTGGCATGAGTGACTGGGCAGCTCGCTCTGCTATTTCTATTAACTGGCTTCTATTCCAGATCCATGCCAGAGAAGTGTTCTTGGATTTTTTTTTATTCTAGCAACCCCTACAGCGGATCTTTTTTTAAAAGCCTGCTGATCAGCCCCAAAAGGTCGAAACTGGTCCAGATCTTACCTGCTTAAATAGAATGCTGTTGGAAAACGAGCATTGGCCCAACAGTACTTCTGTGTGCCACCCATTGCTTGTTTGAGGACAGAATCATTGTTTCATAATCATCATCATCCGTGGCTAACACACACATTATTAAAGGTCTCCCTAAACTGCCACCATCACTCACAATCCTGTGACATGTATTTGTTTACATGTTTGTTTATTCATTGAGACTATATGACACTGCAGAATGACAGTGGCAGCCAGAGGAATGGGTGAGCTTCATAGCACGTCTACTGAGCAGATGGAGCGGTGAGATAAACTATGAACTATTTATTTTTTCTTTTGCCAAGTAAGGCCCCACTGAGCTGCCATATCGCTCTTTTTTTCAGAAGCGACCTGGCCACAAATGACAGCTCGATGAATAGGCTTATCACGTGTAAGTTTATATCAGCCATGTGCCCGAAAGACAACATTTTGACGTGCCCCCTCGTCATCGTGCACTGCCCCATTGTCGTCGCAGAGTGCCCCGAGGAGCCCAACATCATCGCCATCATCGCGGGCGTGGTGGCGGGCATCGTGCTCATCGGCCTTGCGCTGCTGCTCATCTGGAAGCTGCTCATGATCATCCACGACCGGCGCGAGTTCGCCAAGTTCGAGAAGGACCGCATGAACGCCAAGTGGGACACGGTGAGACGCGCGGGCACGGGCACGGGGCAGGGGGGGCTATTGGCCCTGTCCCACCGCCTGGCGTGGCAGGTTTAGGGGCCAGGTGAGGGTTAGGGACTTCAGGCAGCACTGGTGTTAGGGTGAGGGTCACGGATAGAGGAAGAACTTGGGTTAGGGCTTAATTTATCATACGGAGTATAGTCAGGACGAGGGTTAGGACTCTCGCCGTACCCTTAATTGGCCGTGCCATTCGATGCGTCCTTTTAATTCACCACTTTACTGTAGCAGCGTCACTTTGGCACGCTGCCAGTGCATCTGAAAGTCGTTTGAAAGTCTTTTTTTGTTTTTGTTAGCGAAGCTTCAAGCCCTTGTTAGACACAACGCCTTCACACTGGGCATGTAATGATTTGTATCTGGCGATTTGATGGAACTGTAATGATTCGGTATCATGATTCATTTCCAGAATCAATATTTTTTCGTCCTTTTGTGGGGAATGTAGTGCCTCCAGCGGCTGCTAGATTTACATGAACAATTTACAAACAACGTATGCAAATTTCAACTTAATTGTTGCACCGTTACACGCTTAATTTAAACACAAACGAACACGTACACCTATTCGCGAACATTTGTGTGTGCCCATTTTTTTCCCCGTCTTTAGTTTGTCCTTCCCCCCCGCACCACCGATTAGCACGTTGGGCTCCGTATGGTGCGAAAGAAGTCGAACGTACAAACACATGTACACGCACACATACACGTGTACACCTCCATGCATACTCCCTATCTTGAGCTGTATCCTCCTTTCGCCAGAACCGCGTAACATTTCCATCGACTTGGCTGTCTGCATTCGACCGAGTGTGGTTTCCATTCCACGTCGCGACTGCATAACGTTTCCTTGGCTCTTTCTCTCTTTTCTCCTAGCAGCAAGAAAACCCAATCTACCGCAGCCCCATAAATAATTTCAAGAACCCCAACTTTGGACGCAAAGGCGTCCCTCTCTGAACATCTTTGCTCGTAATCTTTTTTTTATTCTCTTCCGCTCCTTTTTCCCCGCCCGCCCGCTCCCCGCACCCCCCCCCCCCATCGCCTGCGTGATCGTGGAGCGCATGTTGTGCGGTGCATGGCGTGCTGTGTTCACTGGACACCCACCCCCCAGGCCGCATGCCCTTCTGCCCACCTCTAACCCTCGACTCTGAAACCCTTTTTTAAACTTTGCCGGACTCGTCGCTCACAAGTGCTGGGTGTGGCACTACCCCTCCTGCTGTTAGGAACGTTAAAGATGTGAACACTTTCCGTCCCGGGCCAGTGGCCTGCGATTAAACTGAGTTGATGGTATTCGCCCGGTCGCTAATTACTGCACACAAAATAAAAAAAAAAACGATCGTGTTACAATTTGTCCTGCACTCAATTTTCGCCAAATTTTCCAACACCTGAGAATTCAAATGTCGTTTTGGACCGTCACGCGACGAGCCTCGCTCTCATACGGCAGAGCCAGTGGGCAGCGCTGCCCTCTGCTGTGTGCGGAACAGAGGTCACCCGAAGGCATTTCGGGGAGGGAGGGGGTGGAGGGGTTTCTGCGATGTCCACTAACTGTGTGGCCGTTTGTAAAATGCAAAGGTTTGCGGTGTGGGTTGCAGTGAGAAATTTTAAATGGATACTTTCCTCCTCGTGACGTGACACCAAAGGCACGGTCGCGATGAAATCGGGCTGAAAACGATGCGCGCGTGTTTTTGAAATGTCAAAACGCGGGGGGCGAGCGTGTGCCACCTGCCTGGTAATGCCCTGCAGTCCCACGCTGCTGAATGCCAACCAGGAACGGCGCTGCTGATGGCGTCGCATTATCCTTGGCATGAAGCCGCAGCTGATCGTTGGAGCGTTCGCGGCAGCGTAGCTTTTAAGGTTTCTTTACTGCTGGCCACAACGGAGCCCCAAGATCGGACTCTTGAGCCTCCGCCACTCAGCAGCTGGGGATGTTCTTTCGCTGCCGTAACTGGCTGTCATGTCCTGAAAGGGGCCCGTGACCTCTTGTTTTTGAATCTTGATCGCCATTTTGCGTCACAGTTGTGTTCTTTGCGTCAGGGGGCACGAGGTGAACAAGTTTTGCCATGAATTAGACCGATGCTCTGACTCATCAAGAGTTAATTTGCACCAGTGTTATTATGGTTATGAGAATCTTAAACTAGAATACAAAGCTATACGTTGTTTCATTAACGGGAACATTAATTAAACTCGTAAGTTTACGTGATCCATTTTCCAAGTTAGATCGAGCGAGTACAAAGCCAAACTGTGTTGTATACCCTCCTCCACCCAACAGCCATACAGTTGAAGTTGTGACGCGAACAAAACATGTCAATTGATGTTGTATTTGGCAAACCGCTGTGATTGCAAGGGAATCCACACACAATCCGTACCGTTATATGTGAGACGTTTGTATAAAAAGTATACCCAACATTATCAAGCTACAACCAAGGAATACTCTGAACATAATATAGTCATGGTGACTTCATCAGTCCAGCCAAGCAGGTGGAACGAATGCATCATCGCCCACGGGGACCAAAATAGCACCGATCTGCATGCGACGTTGTGTAAGCCAGCGTGTTTGCGTTGTCGTTAATTGTTCTTCTGTTTTGCTTTCCAGGGCGAAAATCCGATCTACAAGAGCGCCGTCACGACCGTAGTCAACCCAAGATACGAAGGGAAATAACATCTTTGCGCAATCAAGCGTTTTTTTTTTTAAATCGACATTGAAAGAACTTGATTGCTTGTTATATTTTGATAACAGAAAACGGTAAATAGTTTTGTAGTTTTTCCTCCCAAGTATTAATGTGCCGCGTGGCAGGTCTCGATTTCTCGTAGGCAATGTAACGGTTCATGGCACATGCGATGAATCGTGCGTCCTAAGAACCTATTTTAACTCTTCGCTGTCGACGTCAAGAATTTGGGCTTAGGGCGCCGTAGTTGTTGGGAGTGCTTTTAAAAGAACCACCATTACCAAACTTTCATTCGCACATCCGAGCCGAGCCAGCACAAGGCCCTTGCGGTGCTGCTGCTGCTGCTGCTGGTGGTTTTCCACTGGCTAATTAGCGAGCCGAGCAGGCACCAAACCGTGATGCGGTGGCCCCACGCCATCTAAATCTGGCTTGGTGCCAAAAACGGCCAGGGTGGTCGGTGTGCTCGTGGACGTGTCCATTGCGTACGATGTCCGGCTTGACACGGAGATCACCGCGTCGGCTGCCTGCTTGCTGCGTCTTCACTCGTTCGTTGCGCGCGACGTCGGTCAGCGACGCTGCCACGACGCGAGGACGCAGCGTCGCCGTTGTCCTCTTAACAGAGCGTCTCGACTCGAATCATCGGCGGCGGCGGCGGCGGCGGCACGGCTCGACTCGACTTCCACAGTGGGGCTGGAAAAAAACAACCTGGCGCATCCTGAGCCAAGCGGGGGACCCAATCGCCACAGTTCCCCTTGCACAGTGGAAAAGAGGCGTGACTGCCCCAACCCTGCCACACATGCCACCGAGGATTCCCCCTAGCCAGGATTCGCCATACTCGCAACGGTTAGCACGCACGCGCGAGCGTCGCTTCACATTTTGTTGTTGTTTAATGTTGTCGCATCGTTGATTAGCACCCGAGGTGGGAACCCGACAGCCGCTACAGATTCTGAATTGAACGAAGGAATGAAATTGCGCTCCCGAATGCGTGACACTTGCGCGATTTGCTTCGAGCGTGAATCGTCAGTTTGCCGAGTGGCTCGTGCCCAAAAGTAAATAGACGTTTTTAGAAACGGTAAACCACGGTTGTGTATGCCAAGTTTTGCGAGATTCTCGCCATTACAAAAGCTGTGCTTTTTGTAAAGCATGATTTGTAATTAATAGGTGTTTTTAACGTGCAACTTTTAATTAAAGAGAGCTATCTATTAAACGATTATATATTTTTTGCAAGCAGTTGTTCCACGCAAGAACCATCGGTAAGCTATACAATGATACGGATTTTTTGTTTTTGATAATTTAATTTGTGCCGTCTGATGTAATAAAAACAGATATCTTGTACATTAAAAGCCAAAACCTTATAAACGATGTTCACCGTCATCGCTTCCTTATATGGTATAGTAATTATACATTTTTAAAATTGTGTATTCAATTTTGATGAAGTATATTTAAGGTGTGATCCATTTATTGATATTCTAACATAGGGAGAGATTACAAAGTAAACATGTTAATTCAAAGCCTCTGCAAGTCTCCCCACCAATCTTAAAACACTGATTATAAATCTACTGGTACACCTTGTCCAACATAATCAGAATCTTTATTTAGACTGAATGAATCCGATGACCTATGAAGCTTTTTTTCCCACACGTCCAGCAGGGGCAAGTCAGCAAGTTACAACATAGCCAGTGTGATTTGTTGACAACGTTCGCTGCTGGCTGTACGCTGATTTGATTGATGACCACTTAAGATAGTCATAAATCAGTGGGGCATCTATAAACAACATCCCTGTCAACCCCTTATCAGTGTTTACCCTATTACAGACCAATTCAGACCTTATTGGTCACCCCGTGCCCATATAAATCTCAACGTTCATCCTACAAAGTCCCATCACAAGGGAGAAACGCAAACAAATAGGCAAAAATTATGTTGCTAAACAAAAACTGTGTTATGTATTAATTTGTATAATTGGTGTTAATGATGCTACTTATCATGCTACTGTCTGTTATATTGCATGCTGATGCTGCTGATTGCCTGATATGTGGATGCACACACATGTTTTAAATGTACAACAATAAACAACATTCTGAAGGGTTAAACAATACACTAATTTTATTTGGCCATATGATTATTATTTTTTGCCCGTATTGAAACGGATGTACGCCATATGGATCTGAAAACTCAATTTCCCCATACAAGAATACGGGATAAACCGTATGGGTTGACACGGTATGAAATAACATCACCCCCCCCCCCCCACCCTGTTACTTTTATACAGGAGGCTTTCACGACAAATATGACGATTAATAATTGCCTTTATTAACACATTCCTGCGGAGGGGGCTGGTTGCTCGGTCAGTGACCAGGGTCAACGGCGGCGTGGTGTATTCCGCAAATATGCCCGACTGTGAAGGCGGGCACAAGCCGGCGTGAGTAGGTTAAACGTTGAGTTTTATAAGGACACCACGGGGTGACCAACCCCTCCCCACCCAGACCCAGCCCCACCCTCCCCACCCAGCCCCTCCCCACCCTCCCCTCCCCACCCAGCCCCTCCCTACTCTCCCCTCTCCACCCAGCCCCACCCCTCTCATTTTTTATATCCGAATGTCCAGATACACGTGGACAGACATCCACAGACATACACAATTAATCCCCTGCCTCCTGTGAGAATTAATCCCGGTTGGGCTTCCAGTCCACTACGTTTCCTACCAGTACCAGTATAAATGGGCGCTAGGTGGCGATGTTTTTATATATCCGGGTGTCCGGATACACGTGGACAGACATCCACAGACATACACAATCCCCTGCCTGCTGTGAGAATCAATCCCGGTTGGGCTTCCGGTCCACAACGTTTCCTACCAGTAATGCCCACTAGGAGCGCATTTGTTAAATATCCGGGTGTCCGGATACACGTGGACTGACATCCACAGACATACACAATTAATCCCCTGCCTCTTGTGAATTAATCCCGGTTGGGCTTCCAGTCCACTAAGTTTCCTACCAGTGTTACACGCTTTTTAACTCACTCTGTTGTATCCTCAAATCTTGTAACAAAATGTTTACCCACTTCCCAATGTGGTATCGACTGCAAACTTGGTATACTTATGTCATGCTGATGACTACTATATTCTATCATAAAAAAATAAAAAATATATTTTTAAACATTTTTTTATATGTAATGTTTCGGCTTGGATCTAATTGTCCACGCTCAACTGACGTTGGCTGTAAATCACCACGGTCCCCTTACGTTATGGCAAGCTTCGGGGCCACTTCCTGGAGTCGTGGAGTTCTTCCATTACGTTTCATTAAGCGTGTTTTGTTGCAGCTTGGGCAGCGTTAGCCACCGGTGTTGTTTGATGAGAATAAAATATCACGCGGCGTTTCAATCGATAACGACGTTTCGCGGGACGTTTTATCTGGCATCATAAGATTAACAGCTCGGATCCCGAGCTGTTCAATCTATTTTAGGGTATGCTAGTGTCAGACATGAAAAAACTTGAATGTTATCCATAACGAAATCATAAAAATAAAAGTTTAGAAAAATCATGCATAAGGCAGGGAATATGTGGGTTTACTCTCCGACACACCGGTGTGCTGTACTAGTAACTAATCGGCATGTTCTGTTTACGTGACATACCTTACTAATTCACTGTGTCGGGTGGTGGCGAGTTTAACGACACGTGTTTATATTTATGCGATCTAACCCCAAAATGTTTTATATTTATGGATGATATTAGTCGCGAAAGCCTACTACGTGTTAGACTGACTTTTTTACGTTTTCCTTTCGGAGGCGTTTAATAAGCAGTACAGAAGCCAAGGGGTAGCAGCTGTCGAGCAAAAATGCGTTTGCTTATTGCCAAATACTGCAGTTATTTTTGTTTTGCTCTGGCTTTGGTCTCCCAAATTTTGGGCAGTCCCTTTCATCGATTATAGGGAGCTCTTCTCTGGGCTGAGCCCAAAATATCAACGCAACATTGGACCCCAAGTTTCATTTTGGATCACCTTCGCGAGAGCTGTTGCGCGTCCCCGTTACAAAAGCGAATGCACAAATGCGTTTTTCAGCCTTAGTTGGAATGCATAAAAATGTTCTCTCGTTTTCAACGGTTTAACTTGAGTCCTCTGTCGTGGTCAAATCTTGTAATCAAAATTTCGTCCACTTCCCGTTGTCCAATCAATTCCACATTTTGCACACGTCCTCAGATGCCTGTATCAATATCAGCATCAATTGATCAATTAATTCGCTACTTAAAAGCAATTTACATTTTGTATGGACGCATTATTTACTAGGACCCTGGGAACCCCCGGACCCGACGTCCTGCTAAGGGCCGGGACCCGAGGATCTTGGATGGGTCGGGTCAGCTAGCCTCCCCTAGGTCCCCCTAGCCGGAGGGCTGATATCGAGGAAGAAATCGCAGTGCTTAGGACACGCTAGCCCAGAGGCTATACCTCCCCAGGGTATCGGGTGGAAGGGGCCGATACCCCTTTGTGTCAGGGACCGTGTGTTACCGTTACAATTATAAATAAACGTGTTGCCTCCAGAGAAGACTGGGTCTCCATCTTTTCACTACACTTGTTTCGTCTTTCAATCGAGACAAAGAATCCGTGCGAAAATCTCACAATACAGTGCACCCCATTGTATCAGAAAGAGGCGACAGTGAGCGAGAGAAAAAAACATGAATTGTCTCCATGGAATCCATCTTTCCTCAGCAACGCCCAAATCAAACAACACAACATGGCCAGCAGTTAATGCTTGTGCTGCATGTATGTGAATCATGCATAGAAACTGACAGATTCATTGATACACACACCCACAGGGGAAATACACCGCGTGATATATCTCCTCCAAAGTTATTTGACTGAACTTCAGGATCCACATCAAGATTTAATTATGCCTACAGTAAACGTATTATAGATTGTCAAAGCGATTTCCCAAGGCTTTTTATTTTAAACTCAATGAAACAACGTGGTTGTCTCTGATGGTGGCATGCTTGACCATGTGGAAAACATTTTTATAAGCGAAATCACAATTTCAACCCGTAAATATTTTGTAGATATAAAAAAGGAGCATGACATTTTTAACAAGAGTCAGTCAATTTAACCAGTTCAGAGTATTTGGCTGCTATAAATGTCCACGTGATGAACCACTTTGTTGAGCTGCCATTTGTGGCCAGGTCGCTTCTGACAAAAAAGAGCTATAAAGCTCAGTGGGCCTTACCTGGTAACAGACAATATACATGGCACTTCGCGTGTGGTGGGGTCAAGTGTCGGTCCTCCTGCCTCTTCAGCGATGTTGGGCGAACGTGGAAGAGTCGACTAAAACACCCCATACCGTGGCTGTCTGTAGCTCCTTCTGGCGGTGGCTCTGTCTGCCAGCAGCTGCGTGAGCAGGCAATGGCAGGGCTGCGCCTTTATTTTTTTAACTTTACCATGTGATTATTTTTTTTACTTTTTTTCCGAAATGAAAATCTTTTTTTTTAGCTCATTCACACTTGATCGGCTGAACGTATGTACAAGCGCAGTAAAATAGAGACGCTCGTAATATGTTGTGGCGGAGCTGTTGCAGTTGACAAAATAAATTAACGCCCACATATCTGTTCTGTGTCTCCACGTAACAATCGGGTATTTTATGCGTCCATCCACCCACTGGGGTCTTTGCACACTGGTCCAAAATTTTGTTGTTAAAGGGTCCGTCCATAAATGACGTCACGCGATTTTGGACGATTTTTGACCCCCCCCCCCCCGTCGTCACACGGCGTCACAAAAGTCAGACCCCCCTCAAATATGACGTCACAAAGCTCTGCCCCCCCCCCCCCCAAATAAAGTCGCTTTACACTATTGTCACTGTAGTGCGTATTCAACGTGGCGCTGCACTCTGATGTTGTAGGAGAAAACATTTATTAAAAAGTCTATTTGATTAAGTAGAACGTGTTGTCTATATTTATTTAAAGTTGCGCATTTTGATGTGACGTCATCATCAGGTGTGAAAACCACAACAATAACATTTTCTTGTTGTGGTTTTCACACCTGATGATGATTGCTTGTATTGCAGTCGAAACTTCGTGATAATTTTATTGTTTAATATTTTTATTATCTTATTGTTTCCCTTCTACGTGACTTTACCGAAAGAACCAAGAATATGAATCCCTGCAGTCACGAAAGCTTTAAATCAAAATGTAGGTGTTAAGATGTTAAAACGCCAAACATAAACCTTTTGCAAGGAATCCTGTCCGCATTAACCACACGTACTTGTGGTGAACATGCAAACAACAAAACATGCTCTGATAATATATGATGCATTGCCTTTGAAACTGATTGGTCCACACCAGAGACAGCTTTTTTAAGAAACTAGTCTCAAACAGAGTTAGACCAGAG